TATATATTAGTTATATATATATATATATATATATATATATATATATATATTAGATATTTGTTTCAATTATGTTTTGAAATATTATGATTGATTATTTTTTTCAAGATGTTCTCATTGGTAATTTTACATTTTTATCAGTTGTTTTTGTCAAACATGATTTATTCATCAACTACTTTATCAGTTATCAGTTAGTTTACCAAATACAGCCTTAGTCTTGATTTGTGCACTTGTGCTCGAGCCTGGTTTAAACGTTGGCCCTGATTAATCCCAGTTCAATATTTTTTTATTTCCTTTTTAGTGTAAATTACATTTTTCGTCCCTATAGTTTATTAAAAAAATTGCATATTTCATGTTTATGGTTTGTAATAGATTGTTATTTACGTTTCTAAAAGCAATTCATACCTTTAAATATAAGAGACTAAAATAACAATAAATTATTTTATTAACTGAAGTGGCATACCTTGAATTACAGGGATGAAATGTGTAAAATCCCTTCACTTTCTAAACATTAAATGATATAATATAAAAAGTAAATTACGTTTTTCGTCCCTGTGGTTTGTTAAAATTTATGGATTTCACCTCTGTAGTTTTAAATTTTCGATTTTCATTCTTATGGTCTGTTATTCATTTCTATTTTTGTCCTTGAGGCGAAAAAGAGGGAAGCTATTGCTCCTTTTTTTAGTTCAAAAACTCCTATACAATCAGACCAAAGTCTTAAATACTACTTTTAAATATGAAGGGTTAAAATAGAAAAAAATTGTAAACCATAGAAACGAAAAAATAAATTTTAAATCATGAGAATGCAAAATGTAATGAATTACAAACCATATAAGAAAAATTGTAATTTTCAAAACCATAAAAACAGAAATTTTCAACAAACGAGAGAAACTAAAAACGTAATTTACTCTAATATAAAATATAGATCATCATATGTCACCTCCACGTAATTTAGTCTGTATATGCAGAGCGAACGATGGATGTGGCTTGTGGGTAAAATGGTCATTTAGGCTTTAAGTCTTGTTAAATGTAATGAGAAAAAGAATTAAGGGGCCGTTTACTAAATGCTTACCCGGTAAGTACTTATCGGGTAATTTTCCTCACCGGATGAACATGACAAAGACCAAAAATCTTACTCGGTAAGAGCGAAGATAAGAATGGAGAGTCTTACCCGGTAAGTGAGGTGACGACACTTATCTGGGTAAACGCTTACCAGGTAAATTGTTGCATAGGATACGTTTTGATATATTACAGTCTTACCCAATAAAATAAATTAAAAAATTTACCACGTAAGCATTTAGGTAAACGGCCCCTAAGTTTTAGAAGTTTTTTCTATTTCAAAAAATTTAATATTTTTGCCACATCATGGAATATATTACACATAGATATCTATCTATGTGAAAACTGACATGACATAAAACCTTTTTACTTGATTATGTCATCATAATTCAAATTAATAGGTTATTTATTGTTATTATAGGTAGATTTTTTAAAGTATAGTGGTTTTAATAAAAAAAATAATCTGAAAATACATTATTGTAATAAGAAAAAATGAAAGTAAAATGCTATAATAAACTAGTTTTGAAAAGAACATTATTATTTCATGTGTTTTGCACACAGGAAAATACTGAAAATCTTTTGTTTCTTTGTTTTGAAGAATTTGTTAGAGATAAGTGTATATATAACTGACATCTACCCCAAAAAGTAGAACAGTTGTTTCTTTTCTTACCAATTATATTCGCATCATATGTACACATACGATTCGCAAAACAAGCAAATGCAAAGCAAAAATGAATGACCTGAAATCGAATGAATTGGTTTGAGATTGTCGATAGCGTAGATACGTGATTATGGTTAGAGACCCCCGGTGGTGGGGATCAAGGGACAAAAATGTAAATCCACCAACTCGAGTGCTCCGCATTACGTTAAATATAGATATAGAGATATATACACATCGTCGTTCTCATCAAACGATGGAAAAAAACCATATAAGCACTCGGAAAAGAATCTACACCACCGCCATTTTTTTCATACAAACGCATGCTCCTCGGATCTTTGTATGTCGCTCATGTACTTCCTCCTGCTATAAATTCCGCTTGAGGCCCATGAAAACGGTATATAGCTGAAAGACAGACCGTTGCATAAAAGATATGCAACGGGCTGCAAAAAGGTGTTGTACATCTGATTTTCGTTTAGAACCTACATTTTTGTGGACCCTTTTAACAATTCTTCAACTCATGCTTGCAGTTCTTAACAGCCTACGGAACTCCGAGAGGCTAATCTTGCCGTCCTTATCGACATCAGCTTCCTCCAAAAGCGGATTTATCGACCCTCTTAGACCCGTATGCTGCAAAGGCCATAAACAACGTATAAGTTAGCAAAAACACAGATTCAGGAGTTTTGACTTTCTTGAGGTCAAAGAAAGCGAATCCTCAGCTTCAAATTCCATTTGGTTATTGAAATTTCATGAACGATGCCAAATATGTCTACATGTCCTAATAGACTACTTTATAAGACTTATGTTTATAAGACCAAACAATTTTGGGTCTTATATAAAGATGCTACAACAGGATGTTAGGACAGTTTTGAAATAAAGTGTCCTATAAACACATTTTTTTATAGGACAGTTTTCCAAATAATGTCGTATAAAATAACTAACATGACACTTTATTTCAAAATTATCCTAAAAAACTTGTTTGGACGCCCAAAATCCTTCTATCAACTCATTGTAACACATTTATATATGACGCACAATTGTTTGGTCCTACAAACTTAAGTCCTATTAAGCAATCTATTAAGATACTTAGACATAATATGACGTCCTGCGTCAGTTTGTAGAAAAATCCCTACAATTTCGAATTAAAAAGTAAGATGTTTGACCTCATAACAAAAGCATACCATTTTGAGTTCTTCTGCAGTTATATATCCATCTCTATCAAAGTCGAATTGTTCAAAAGCGGCTTTCGATAATCGTTGCCACTTTTCGTTATTGTGTTCCTCTAACTGATGAACGTGAAGCGTAGCAGCCACAAATTCCATGAAATCCACAATACCGTCTGTGTTGCTGTCGATCTGTGCCACAAAAAGAGACAAAAATCATCAAATCATGAAAGACGATGTCTTAGAGACGAGTTTACACGAAACTCCGTTGATAAAAACGAAATCCATCTATTTCGTGAAAGAAAAAAAAAGCCCGTTTTACCATGTACGATTTCATTAAAGTTATAAACAAAACTCACAACACGCGATCTGAAAGACCGATGGGAAATACAAAAACGATCAAAATTTGACGACTTACCGCTTCCAAAATCTCCAAAACACGCGATTCTTTCATCTTCCATGGAATGTCCTTAGCAAGAGCCTACCTCAAAACCAAGCTAATTTTAGAACATATATTATCGTGATTCCTGTTCTAGTTCAAGCATCGGCGGCTCGTCCGAAAGATTAAAAAAACGAACGTGAATCAAATGTACCTGTCTCATTTCCTCGAGACTAATAGCGCCATTTTTGTCTACATCAATGGCATGAAATTGATCTTTGAGATCGGATATTTCTTCTTCACCGAGTGTGCTAGCCAACGCCTATAATATCCTTAGAAAACCATTTCTTTAGCATTTAATAGGCGATCGAGCATTCATGTTAAATAAACCAAACACGAATTCTTACCCGTAGAGCAAACTGTTTTAAACGATTGTATTTCACGAATTGGCGCATGTTGGATAGAACGGAAATGTCGAGCGGAATCTCGGAAGCATTTCCATCTTCTCGAACCCACGGGTGTGCTGTACAAGTTTTACGCATCATCAGATGCCGGCTTATAATAGAAAAGACGAAAAGAACGACAAAAAATGATATAAAAATACGAAAGAAAAAAAGATATACATACATAGCGCCTGTGCAGCGGTGAGTCTTGCACGGGGATTTTTCATGAGTAATTTCCTTACTAGATCTTTGGCACTGTTGCTTATAGTCGGCCATGGTTTGCGACGGAAATCGGGCTTGTTTCTTAATACCTGTTCATTTAAACGATAATATGAATTAAAAGCAAATAAAAACCGGTGAATCGCTCATGAGCAGGGCCACTGAGATTTTCCCGACTGTTTATCTCCATTTAGTGTTAATTAATTGGTAAGTGTTCTGAACGAAGAGTCTGTATGACATAAAATTACCATTTTAACCCTCTACATGATTTAACCAGAAGAGATGAACTCTTTTCTAGAAATTGCCGGGGGTGCATCAGTGTAGGGGCACTGAAAGTTTCACCCTCTCGGTTTACTCATCTTCAGACATGATTTTACGGGTCGTAGAAAGGTTTTTCATTAAGCGATAGTAATCGATGGTAAAGCGTATGCGATTAATGTAGCTTAAGTCGAATGAAACCACCTCTTTGAAAATACCATCCTCGGTTCTATCCCAAAAGGGTCGACGCCCACATAGTAGAATGTAGGAGATCACACCTATGCTCCAAACATCCGATTCCGGCCCGGATCTACGCTTCAGTACTTCAGGAGCAACATAGTAAGCACTACCAACGATATCCGTAAACTTCTTACCTGCATTACGTACGCAAAAACGAAAATTAGATATCAAAATCAATCATGAAAACCGGGCTAGGGGTATTCACAAACAACCATTCTACTTTTTGGATAGAGGACAGGTCTACATACATACCACCTACGGAACCCACCTCCAAGTGGGATATACCGGGCTCGTTTGGTTTAATCAATCACAAAAACATCAAAGAGAACAACATTATACGACTCCGGTAGAATTGTGAAAAAAATATGAATTTGGACTACAGTATCATACTCACCCGGTCGTATAAAGTCCGACAATCCGAAATCCGTTGCCTTCAAGTGAGAATCCACATTCGGGGATTTGAATAGAAAATTCTACAAAATTACAAAAAAAAAAAGGTAAAGTTAGCATCATCTTAAGAATTATTCGGTCCTAAAATTCACAAACCACAGTTTTCCACGAAACAACTGCTCTGGTCTGCTTACATCCGACCCCCCAGACCCCACCCCTAGTGGGATATACGAGTATCGTTTGGTTTAACTCTCGAACATGGACAACCTAGTGGATTTTTGGGAAATGAAAGCATTTTTAGCTCGAAAACTTTCTATAAAAGGAAAGGTTTTCTAACCTCGGGTTTCATGTCGCGATGTACCAAACCATGTAAATGGCATTGTGCTGCAACTCTAAGCATCTGCCTTACAACAACTGCTGCATCTTTCTCTGTGTAACGACCGTCTTTCCTGTAAAAAGAAAACTAATCAAACTAAACCCCAATTTCATCGTTCGTTTGAGAACCATTAATCTTATGAAATTTTCATGCTATTCCCCATGAATGGTTGGTTTTCAAAATGAACCTTTTTAGCATTTAGCCACCTCCATCCAAGATATAACGGTACACGTTGACTTTTGAAGTCAAACTGAGTACTATTTAACTTTGAAATTATTACAAGTGCCTTGAATTTCTCATGGAAACTTCAATATCTAACATTTCATTCTAAAACTATTCCTACAAAATGAAGAATCCCAGCTTTAAATTCGAAATAAAGTCCGTATATATTCTCGATTTGGAAAACTATAGGTTTGACCTCAAAAGTCAACATATAGAATAGAAGGGATTGCATTTCATGTTTACAAGATGAGAATTCTTACTTTGATAAAATCCTGTCGAGCAACTCACCGCCCTCGCATAACCTGAAAGACAAATACCGGATTCAATTTTGAGATTTATTTGATTCTTGTAAAATTTATTGTCTTTAAAGGCAATAAAATTAAAATAACGAAACTTACTCCATAACAATGTATACAAAGGAATTGTCTTCAAATGCATTATGGAACTGAACCACATTCTCGTGACCACTTAACGCTCGCAAAATTTTAACTTCTCGCTTAACATCCTCAACGGCAATTGGAAGGAGCATCTGTTACAAGATGGCAAAACCAGTCTTTAGAGCACTAAATGTCATAGTTAAGTATACAAGGCAGGTTCAAACGAGAAGAAGGCCCAAATCACATTGATTCAAACACGTTGCATTGACCAGACATAGCGCAGGCACGTATTCACACGACCTTGGTCGCATTGACCAGTCGCGCGCAACCTTTTGGACATGTTGTATCATATGTGATTTTGGCCTTTTGGCAAGTTGACCAATTTCTCGCATGATACTCCATCTGTTTGTGATATCCAACAAACTTGTGGGGTGTTAGCATCATCGATCATCGAGTAGGACGTATTCTTGAAAATGGTTGTAATCATTCGGTAAAATCATAATCGCAAACAATAATCGAGACTTTGTCTATGTAATCTTTAAAAACAAAGCTCATGAAAAAGGTTAATTTCTATCCAAATGAGAATCTCTAAGGGGCAACATAAACCAATTCTTAGAATCAAACAAAGATCATGAACCTTTGATCAGGAAAACCAAACCAAAAGATATGAATCCTCCCATCGAATTTCCAGAAACTGATAACATGATCATCAAAAGTGATGAACATGGAGCCATCGGGCGTGTAGCTCAAATACACATCAGAGGTTCAAAAATCACATGTGATTAAAGCCTTGAAACCCCATGGATGTAAGAATCTTGAATCCTCAGTTCACAATCAGCAAATTGAAGAAATACAAAACTAGAATTCTGTAAGATTTTGCTAGAAATTTGCATATGAAAACGATGTAATCAAACACAAACCAACAAAAACTAATGGAACCCACATTCGAAAAAGGGGAAACCAACATTCATACGAAAATCCGAATGGGCAGAAATTACCTTATTTTTTTCGATTTTCTTCACCGCAACACGATCGCCAGTTGATTTATCGATAGCAACATATGTATACCCAAATTGGCCATGCCCCAATAATTTTCCAGTGGAATACCTTCTATCAAAATCCTTAAGATACCCAAAATCTGTTCGTTTCCCACAAGGAATCACCTTGGGACGCTTTGGGGCAGCCTTACCTTTTGCTCGATTTTTATTATTATAGTTAGTATCCTGCTGCTTTCGATGATGATACCTATTGAGATCTTTGATTCGCTGTAAATTGACATTAGGCACCATCACCTCATGCTTGACGATGAGACGGTTTTCTTGTTCTTGACCGGCGGTAGCGGATGGGGTGGTGCTGTTGGAGCCACTGATCTTGGTGTTGGAAAAACAGATACCCATTTCTTCTATCGATCAAGAAAATCAAATATTTGACCAGGGTTTTGGTTGATTTTGTCGATTATCTATGAAATCAACAACATAATGGGTGGATTAATATATAGAGAAATGAGAAGAAATGTAGAAAATGTAGGGTATTGGGAAATAATAAAATATGGTGGAGGAAATTTGGTGGCAGATTGGTAGAAGGAGGGGGAGACAAGGATGGCGGTGGTGGCGGTGGTGGTGGTCAAAGAGACTTTTCGTTTTTCCGATGGAGTGAAGAATGAGGACCCCCTCCTCATTAATTATGATGTTTACAGCTTCAAATCGTGTGATTTCAGGTGGCATGAAGAAGAATTATTTGGTTTGATTCCCCCCAAAAGAGATTGGGGGTCTCTGAAATCAATCCACATCTCTTGCATTCATACGGGCTCTTTAGAACAACCTTCCTCCCCCGAAAAGGGACTACACCCATTCGGATCTACATTCGGGTTTATGGGTTCACCATTTTAGCCATTTGTTTGGATTTTGTTTTTGTTTTTGGGTTTTTTTTGAAAATCGATCTTAAACTTCAATAAGTGGGTAATTATTTATTTATGATTTTGAACGCCGACGATGGATGATTATGTGAGAATAGGAGTTAAGTTGATAAATATAAGAAATAATTGTCAACTTTAATTACTTTTGATTTCATCCACACCCCATGAATTGTTAGTGTTGATCTTCAATTATAATTTATCTAATTGTATTAACTTTTCATTTTTTTTATCTAGGATAAAAATAATGAATACAAGTTTTGATATATGCATATATACACACATACGCAGATGATTTTATGAAAATTGGAGTTAAAGTGGTAAGCGTAAGAAATAATCAAAGCTTTTGGTCACTTTACTCTCACCCTCACCTTATGAATTACACTTATCATGGGAGTTGATCTGGTGCATCTAAGTGTACCGTATTAGTGTTGATCTTTAGCTAGGTTTGATCTACTGATATAGATATTTTTCACCAAAATTTTCATTTTTACCGAAACGGTTATGGTGAGAATGAAAGTTATTTGGGGGGGG